CCACCGTCAGTGGTAGTGGTAGGGTTCTCTCCCTGCAGCTAACTTTTTTTTCTCTTCTTTTTCTGCTATTCCCTTGGCACCCTATCATTTCTTTCTTAAAACTAAAAATTGAGTTAAAACTTTTCTCCAGGGGAGACTTGCCTAGCCCTGCAAATTCAACCCTCCTCATTAGAATTTGTTTTACTACGTTTCTATTTTAGTGCTATTAGCATGACAGAGTAAGGCTTACAGAGGCTAAAAGTTGTATATTACCGTTGGCAGTGACCACCCTTCCAAATAAAACCTGAAGGTGCAAAAGAGAACACCCCAAAGATATGTGAACAAATTACAATGATTTAAGTGGTGGGGCTCCCCTACTAACAAGATAAAGTGGTCAGGCAACTTTCCCCTCTTAAAATGTTCTGGAAACTGGTGAAATGCTTTGAACAGCCTGGATGTTTTCAATGGGTTCTGTTCTATTAGTTCATGAATGCCTTTTTTTTTTTTTTTTTTTTTTAAAGATAATGCAACTACTTGAGTTTTTTTTTTTATCTTCTTTCCTATTCATGATTAAAAATGTGATAAATCAGGTTTTTGGCTCTGAATAACAATGGCTTGATTTAGATTTCCTAGTAAATCTATTCAAAAGTGAAACAAAGGCGGCCTTTGGAGGATACCTTACACTTCACCTGGACCAGGCACGTAAGGGCAATTCAGATAAAAATCTTGTTAGGAACTCAACAAGAAATAGAGGATTTTCTCTTTTCCCTGGTTCAGGCTTTATTTAAACTCTTTGTTCAGAAAAAATGAACAGAGTGATAGTTGGATTCTAATTTACAGATATAGCTTAGACGCATCTAATATTAAATTAGAAGATCACACAAGAAAACCATTTACACATAAAGGTTAAAACCAATATTTAAACTTTTTAAAACTTTATATTACATAAAGCCAAAATGAAACTAAATACATGTTAGCCAACTTCATTCACAAACATCAGTCAAAATATATACATTTAAAAAGAAACCAAAAAAGCTATAATTGAGGAAGGTTCTTTTTTCCCTAAAATGTGCTTTATCATTATTTGCAAATGAACTGCAGGTGATCTAAAAAATAACCTAATCCAGGAGGGGTCTCCAAAACACATTAAAATGGTTCAAGTTGGGAGAGAAATGCTAGCTGCAAAAGGGAGGCATCTGTCAAAACAATCCTGTGCGCTTTTTTTTTTCAGTTTTGCTAAATAATAAATATATAATTACCACTCAGACAAAAAGTCTGATTTAAGTTTAGATAAAATTGCGCTTCCGAAATAGTTTCCGCAATTTTTAAAAGTTAACGTTTGACATTTGTCCAAAAGGTGTTTGAGTCTAAAACTGACTCAAAATCAAAGCAGCGAAAGGAACCCCTCTCCTCAGACCCGACATTCTCGATGCCAGATCCACATTTACAATCTTCAGGTGAGCTCAGCCACAACAGGGGAACTGGAACAGCGCCTTTTCTCCTTTTTGTAAACTGTGTCAAAAATCCACGCCAGCGGACTCAGATTCCTAGATTTCTTTTCTGAGCCAGAGAGAAAATCTAACTGGCAACTTTCCTCTCATATTTCGCATATTTCTGGTCCGCATTTCTCACACTTAGGAGCGAGCTCTCGCTCTGATTTGCATACGGTCTGATAAACAAAAGAAACCGTGATCATCTCACATACAAAAGGCCAGATTGGAGCCGGCCACTGGTCAAGAATGTTTCAGGTCTGGGGGTTCTGCATGAGAGAACAGAGCCCTGCGAAGTTCAAATGGTACAAACGACAGCCAGGCTGCTCGGTGCCATCCCCGCTCGGGGAAATTCATGACACAGCTCATCAGCACTGCCCATGTGCCAGCCAGGTCCGACTGGCATTTGAACAGACAGCATGCAACGTAGACCGGGAGGAGGAAAAGGTCATGAGAAACAAAAGCAAAAATCATACACTTCCAAAGAACAAAACTGAAAAACCCAAAGTGTCAAAAAGTGACTCCTCCACCTCGGTGGGGCAAAACGCAACAGGTTTCGAAGTGCAAAGCAAACACTCCCTGCTGCGGGACAGACGCGACCGCCCTCTGGAACGCGGGTTGCCGAGGCGCGGGTGGGAGCCGCTCTGTGGGTTCACACACACGCGCGCCCGCGCACTCGCGCTCGGCCACTCGCGCCCCGCCTGGCATCGCTGCCGGCAGCTGTACACCTATGTACATCCGTCCCCGGAGCCCTTCGCGGAGGCGCCCCGGGAGGCCGCGGAACTCGTACCTATACATATGTACACGCGTGCGCAGGGTCCCCGCGGGGTCATAGCGCGGCGGCGTAGGCCGCGGGGTAGGGGTCCAGCTGAGGCTTGCCCATGCCCGGCAGCAAGATGTAGGCGAGCGGCGGCTGCAGCCCCGGGCTGGGCCACGCGCTGCAGTTGCACGGGATCATGTAGCCCGGGTTGCCCGGGCTGGGGTGCGAGTGCGTGTGCCCCCCGGCGGCCGCGGCAGCCGCTGCAGCCGCT